ACTTTTCAATGTCCTCCTAAGGCTCTGAAAAACAAAGGTGATGCAGTTAAACGACAACGAAAGAAGAAGCAAAAGAGTGGTTCTTGTACAATATATCATCACCCAATGTGATTGTATATGCAATCTCTAAGTTTAATAACAAACAAAGACTTATTTTGGTTGAATGAATTTTAGTATGAGTTTATCTACATCTTAACAACTTGTATGATGCACTGCAATGAACAATAGTATGCATCACTATACGTTTGAGATATATAACATAAAATAGAACTATGATTTGGGTAAAGTGTTACCTTGAATTTGAAAAATATGCATATATATGAGCATATTGTTTATGTCACGTGTGAATATACTTTGACAATGAAGTTTGAAAGCATTCCTCAGTGTCTGTTTATTATTGTTGAAGTGGTGTATGAGCATCAAAGTTTTGGATGGAATTAAGTGTTATATGAGTTTGGATAAATAAGTTAGTTCAACAACGTTAACACTTTGGAAAGAGATAGTGAACTATGCATTACATATCAGATCATATGACGATGCACCATTGTGATATATAAGGTGCATATTGTATGCATAATAAATGTATTATTACAAATCAAAAGATTTATTACATTTATCTTTATTATGCAAAGAGGCGATCCAATGCAGCAATACATACTATGAAATGCATTCACTAACTTCATAAACCATGATATAACACATAACTATTTGATATTACATGATGCTAGTAATGAAACATCATTCATGACATATTGTATTACGTTGATTGTTTGTTTCGTGAATGTGCAACACAAACACTTATTTTAGTTGAATGAATTTTGGTATGAGTTTACTTGCATCTTTACAACTTGTATGATGCACTGCAACGAACATTAGTATGCATCACTATACGTTTGGGTATATAACATAAAATAGGACTATGGTGTGGGTATAGTGTTACCCTGAATTTGGAATAATGTGAATTACATGTTATATAAGTTTGGATGAATAAGTTAGTTCAATAACATTAACATTTTGGGAAGAGATAGTGAGTTATGCATTACATAGCATGTGACGATGCACCACTGTGATATATAAGGTGCATATTATACGCACAATAGATTTATTATTACAAATAAAAAAAAGTTACTACATTTTTCTTTATTATGCAAAGAGGTGGTCTATAAAATGCATTCACTAATTTCATAAACCATGATATAACACATAATTAGTTGATACAAATAGCAAAAGAAACAAGTACCCTCATTAATGAAGTATGTTCAATAAATAGATGAAATGATTATGCATATAATTGCATTAGAGAATGCATTTCAAAGTGATGTTAAGTGCAAACTGTAATGCAAAAATGGATGACAGTTAGTGAATCACATGCGCACATATAGTACAAAACATAAAATACAATGAATAAAAGGTAAAACAAGATTCATTTCTCAATTCTGTTTACATTTTACACAGCAGTACATGGAAATACAACAAAACAACATAACTAAATAAACTTATTCATATTATCAAATCCGATTTATTTACGAGGTAATTCCTACTATCATTATGGGGCAAACTATAGTTGCAAACTCTTTGTAAAACTTGATGCCTGGATCTATATCACAAAACATCACACCCAATGCTCTGGAAATTGGTTGCATAGCCTGCCAATTAACCTTGTACCTCCTCAAGCACCGTACCCCTCCCTTCAGAACAAATTTGTGATCAAAATCCCTATAAGCAAGATCACCCCTTCTCTGTGGCCATATAAATTGTTTAGAAATTGGCATTAACAAAAAGGAAGTTAATGAAGGCCAGAGATGTAAAATGAAGTTTCAAATTAAAATGAAGTAATTAAACAACAAAAAAAAGAGAAGGAAGATGACACTATCAACGTTTAATATACACTTCAATCAAATTAATAAAATCTTACACATAGTGATTCATGAATAAACTGAAAAATGATAACCATAATTTTTAGTATAAACCTGGAGTTCATACAGGAATACCTGATTCAATGGTGTTCGACGACTGCGATCGAAAGAGATTAACCAAAGTCTTTGATATTACTGGCAGTCGAAGAGAAGTAGAGAGATGAAGCAGATGAATAGCTAGTAATCACAGAGATGGAAGGGAATGTGAGTCGCAAAGATGGAAGGGATTTAACGAGGTCAGGCGGTTATGGAATTGAACGCGGTTTTTTCCATTCTTAGATTTAGGTCAAATGACTAAAACACCCTCATGTGTAATAAGTTTATTGGCTTCAAATCTGTAGCACCGAACGGTTATCTTAATTAGATGCAGGGTTAGGATTAGGTTTGTATGTTAGCAAATTAAGATGGGTTTGCATTTGATCTCTTACCTATATATATATATTGGTTCAAGTGAGAAATGCATCTAATGTGAGAAATGAGAACGAATCTCCGCCATTAGATTCGCGAAGTTGCACTAAAATGATTTGATGTTGCAGTGATATTTAAATTTTGCACATGTTGCACTAAAACTGTTTCATGTTGCACTAATATTTGACGGCGTTGCACCGAAATAGTTTCATGTTGCACTAGACACGTCTAATACGGATTTTTCAGAAGTATTTACAGAAATGCCACCATGCTAGATTGCATATTTCAGTGCATCATCAAGTGTCTTTTATTGCAACTTAGTCGAATCCAATGGCTGAGATTCAATCTCATTTCTCACCTAAAGGGTTCTTCTCACTTGAACCTTACCATATATATATATATATATATATATATATATATATATATATATATATATATATATATTATTTGAGCGAATTTGGAGTACTTATATCACACCCCTTTAAACTTTGAGATATTTAAATTATTTTATCCTTGTATTTATTCCAAGTTCTATTATTTTCTTGTTAGACTATCTACCCAGTTTTTGGTTTGTTTGTGTCTATTGCAGTTTTGAGATGTCTAGTTTAGCTATGATTGGAATTTGGAGGTATTGAGACTTCTAAGGTCATTAATTGGTTCGAAGCTCATGTATCTTCAACGAAAGTTTCACTCAGTGTTGAAAAATATTCATGCCTGATCCGCGATTTGAGGACCCTTTGGCTATTATGAGTCTAGTGAAGTGATAAGAAGTAAGAAATTTATGTGTTGGCAGTGTTGCCCATTAGACGATGTTCAATGATGGTAGAGTTTTTGTTGAATCTAGATCGAGTTTTCTCGAACAAATGGATTGTTGTAACTGTAGATTCTATTGTTATTTTAATACTCCCCCCGATTCAAAAACAAGTTCCACTTTACTATTCATTGGTCAACTTAAGTTAGTCCTAATCTTTTATTATATATATCAAAATTTTATCAAATTGAAATTTACTTGATCAGACTTTGTAGCGGTTTTAATGTAGTTTCTTAATATGTAAATTTTATTTATTGAAGATAATCTGAGTGTGAACAAGGATCGAGTTGCTTTATCGTCAGTCAAGCATCGTAAACCGTACTGGAACTTGATTTTGAATGGGAGGGAGTACAATTTATCTTTTCCTAAAAAAACTACTTTTCCCCTTTAATTGGAAAATACACCCTCTTATATATTTTGCATTTCTTTTTACATCCCGAATTCCCAACTATATGATGACTTCATTTTTAGGTTTCCTCTCTTATCATATCAACAATACTTATAGATCACTCATTCATCAGTTTTTTGTTTTTTTCCAACTTTTGGTTGGTCCGTAATGAATATATTGTCAAATGTGCTATGTTCTCATTCAATTGAATTAATTGTAGTATTTTTCCTTTCACGTTTATTTGATACCTATTTCGAAATTTCATATTAAGGTAAATTTAAAACGTTTTGAGTATTTGACCTTCAAATACATTAATAAATAAAATATCATCAATTTTGATTACTTATTAGGTGGTACAAAAAGTAAATGATTATAGATCAAATAGGGGTAATTTGAATTTTCACTTCCATTTTGTTGCCCAAATTGAACTCTACATCATACTTCTAAAAATCATTGTATTTGCATCTCAACCCTCTATGAAAAGGCAGAAATGCCTCTTTCTCAATCAGGAATATGTTGAAGGCCAACATAATTGTTAATGGAGGGACATTTTTGTATTTTCATACGGGGTTGTGATACAAATACAAAAGCTTTTAGGGAAAGTTCCCGAAATACGACTAAAAAGTTTGGAAAATTCCAAAATAAGAGTAATTACAGTCAACTTTGGAAAATATTGTCATGTTTTAAGTCTGGTACTGCCAAAACATGACAGTAATTAGTCCTATTTTTGATAATAAAAATATGACAGTCCTATTTTGAAATTTTCAATCTTTTTAAGTCTTATTTCGGATAATATTCTCAAGTTTTTAAAAACGGGGTGCAAAATTTAACTTGAGCATCAAAATGGGGTTGCAAACTCAATATTACTCCAATCAAATATCATCAAATTTGAATATGTGAACAATACAAAAATTAAATTGTTGCATCTAATGAAAGGGAGGTCTAGTACTTGACAGTTGACAAACTCAGACCTTCTCCGGGAGTGTTTGCAACTGATCTGCTTAAAAAAGCACTTTTGGAGATGTAAGGAAAAAGTGATTAGTAGTAAAAATTGATAGTGTTTGAGAAAAAAGGTGATTTTGAAAAGTAAAAGTTGGCAGTGTTTGGTAAAATAAGTGTTTTTTGTGTAATAGAAAAGAGAAAATCACTTTTCACACGCAAGCCGAAAAAAATTAAAAAATTGTAGTGTTTGGTAAATAAGTGTTTTTTAAGTCAAAAGTTGAGAAGTTCTTTTTTTAAACGGTTGCAAACACTCTTTCGTGCTTTCTTTTTCTTATGTTATTGATGTCGATGTTGATTTTCTTTTTTAAAAAAATATAAAAACTATGTGCACGAAGAAATAAAGAATACCAATTGCACGAATATTATAGAAGGAAAAAAATCACTTTCAAAGGACGAAAAATAGAAAGAAAAAACACAAAGTAATGGAATACGTAATCTATTCCACATTTTTTCGATTTACATATTGGGAAAGGGGGGAATATTTTGCATCTTTGTCTCCAAATTTACCAAATATTTTTAATAACCATGTCCAATCTTATGACTATACTGGGATGAGTACATAAATGCCAATAGAGATGGCGGAGTGGGTGGATTCTGTAGCATACTATCTCCTACACAAATTCCAATCCTGTAATTCTTGACCACCATTTTATCGACTATTACCGTGAAATCCACCGTGATTTTACGGTGGTGCAACCCACCGCCATCACATACCACCTTCCCTTGCCGCCCCCATATTATTATCTTTATTTATTGTTGCTATAATTATTATTGTTATTATAATTATCATTAATACAGCTCTTCATATTCTGGAGCTAACACGTTATCATCGAGCCGAGAGACATAATTTTGTTTTCTTCTACGTGGGCTGTTCTGTTTCTGCTCCTACTTTTGTTTGCTTTCAAGCGGTTAAAGAATAGCTTTGTTTGAATTTCTACCTCATACTCCCAGCCAGCTATTCCGATTTGCTGGATTCGTTTCAAGAGGCCGGAAAGCTTAATCCATATCTCCTCGTTAATCGGAGTGGAGGGAGGTATAGTTTCTAGTAATTAATCCAGTATGTTGTTTAAAGAGAGGGACAGGGAGAAAGGTGGCGGCGCCGCCGTACCCGGAGAGAGGAAGATGTTTGTCGGGGTGGTGTGGAACTGCGCGGCGGAGCTCAAGATCCTGCTCACCGCTCTTCTATTGCTCTTCTCAATCATCACCATACTTCAGTTCATCCCTGCTCGCGTTAGCTTCTCCTCCGCCGTCGATCTCCGCTCTTGCCTCTCCAGCCAGCCGTCGTCTGTCACCGCCGTCACCGCATCTACGGCGGCTATTCAATCTGTCTCGAATTTCAGCGCGGCGGGGTTGTGGCCGCCACCGACAGTGGTGCGGGACGAAGTTCTCGAAAACGGCGTCGTTAAGCGGGCTTTTAATGGGTTCGGCTCGGCGGCTTACAACTTTGTCTTGATGTCGGCTTACCGCGGCGGCGATAACACCTTTGCCGTCATGGGTTTAGCTTCTAAGCCTCTCCATGTGTACGGGAAGCCGAATTACGAATGCGAGTGGGTCCCGGCGGATGAATCTCAGGATTCTGTCACCGTCTCCGGCCAGAAGATCCTCCCTGACTGGGGATACGGCCGGGTTTACACTGTTGTGGTGGTGAACTGTACATTCCCGTCCCCTGTTGGCGACGCTGACAACGGCGGGAAGCTGGTAATCCACGCCACCACGAACGGAGGCGGCGACACGAAGTTCAACGTAACGGACACATTCGAGGCCATCGTCGAGACACCGGAAGATTTCTCGAACTTCACCAAAGTGTTCCAAGCTCCGCCGAAGTATGATTACCTGTACTGCGGCTCGTCTCTGTACGGAAATCTGAGCCCTCAGAGAGTTCGAGAGTGGCTGGCCTACCACGTCAGAATGCTGGGAGAGAAGTCGCATTTCGTTATCCACGACGCCGGCGGCGTTCACCCGGAGGTGCTGGAGGTTCTGAAACCGTGGATGGAGAGAGGCTACGTCACTTTACAGGACATTACGGATCAGGAGAGGTTTGACGGATACTACCACAATCAATTCCTCATCGTCAACGATTGCTTGCATCGATACAGATATCACGCGAAATGGATGTTCTTCTTCGACGTCGACGAGTTCATCTTCGTCCCTAAGAAGAGCACTCTCAAATCGGTGCTCGCTTCCTTCTCCGATCACACTCAGTTCACAATCGAGCAAATGCCGATGTCCAACAAGCTCTGCCTCCGCGAGGATTTCGGGAAAACATACAGGTACGTTACTACGTATATCTCGAATTCGAGAATCGAGATCTGTTAATCTATTCACTAGATCTCTGCCTTTTCATTTCCAGATCTATACATGTTGCTGAATTTTGAACTGTTTGATACAGAAAATGGGGATTTGAGAAGCTGGTGTACAAGGACGTGAAGAAGGGGATCCGACGGGACCGGAAGTATGCGGTGCAGCCGCGGAAGGTATTCGCGACAGGGGTTCACATGTCGCAGAACACGGTGGGGAAGACGACGCACAAGACGGAGGGGCAGATAATGTACTTCCATTACCACGGAACAATCGCCGAGCGGCGGGAGCCTTGCCGGAGACTGGTCAACTCCACGACGATCACCGTCGACGGAACCCCGTACGCTCTGGACACGACGATGCGAGATGCCGCCGGCGTCGTGAAAAGATTCGAGCTGAAAACAATTGGGCCGAGGTTGCAGAGAACCCGGCAATGAGAAAAAAAAGCCCACAGATTATCCGGTCCAGTATTATTTTAATTATTAAATTCAATTCCACTCTCTTCTAGGATGTTTGATTTACAAATTAAAAATGAAAAATTAAAAAAATCTCATCCTGGGATAATAGCCATTCGTTAGTTTCTTGTGTATGATAAGACAGACTTTCAAAGCTGGAACATGATAGAAATTTGGACAGAGTTTTTTAATAGAATATAAATATTTTCCATGATCCATAAATTACACGTTCAGGCTACTCTATTCGTTGGTATTTTTTTCCCAAAAAAAATCAAATTCAGATTTTGCTTTTTCCTATTGCATGCCTGGCATGATTGAAGAAGTGTCGGCAAAGGGACCACTTACCATGTTCGGTGTTGAACTGTTGATCACTATACCGAATGCGGTGGCTGCTAAAGTGATGGGTATTTCATCTTTAAAGTAAGGGAAAAATAGGATAATTGGATAAATAATGTAAAAGTAATAATAAATCAAATATCTCAAATTTTACAAAGCCCTTCCTAAAAAGGATGAAACTTCATCCATGAGTGTCTCTCAACATCGAGGGATGAATTAACTGGGAAGACGTAAACGTTATGAAACATATTGTGTAATAAGTGACATATCCAATGAATGTGTCATTTGTCTCAGCGAATACTTTATAGAGAGGAAAGATTGAAATTTTGTAGACTGATCTGGTGTGATCTGTTTTTATTAGAATTATTACCGAGGGGTGTTCAGCAATTGGCTATTGGCCGTTGGCTGAATCTGTTGGCTGATTGGTGACAACAGATTCTGTTGACTGTTTTGATTAGCTAATAACGTTAACTGTTTATGAAACAGTGTTTGGTTAAACAGTTGTTTACAATTGTCTGATAACTTGTTAAATTACTTTTAAGGACATCAATTAATTTGTTTTGTTTATTAACTACTTAATCAGTTTTTATTTAATAATTTTTTTATTAACACAAGTAACAATTCGTTTCAACATTGTTTTTAAGTTTTAAACACAAATAACATCGTTTTTTGGCAGGACAAATAACATTCGTTTAATAAGTATGATTATGTTTTGACTAATTAATGGAAAAATGAGCAAAAAAAGTACTACGAAAATCTCTGTTTATTGTCAATCAAACTATTCAAACCCATGTTTTCTCTATATTTTTAAACAACATGCACGAATACATTTTAGTTCATCCGTTCATTCTTTTATTGTCCTATTGATTTAAAATATCAAACTAGTTTCCTCCTTCATCTAGATGCAATATAAATATGATATACAAAAAAATATAGTGGCCTCTGTTATGAGTAAGTATTCTAGCTTGCGACAATCAACCATGGCCCGAACGAAGCCAAAATCGGCCACGGACCCCAACGCCCCAACCTTGTATCTGCCACACACATCGCATATCAGTCGCAACCATCATTTCTCCACAATTCGGCCATAGACGAACCTTAGCCAGCACGATTGGGGGTCTCGATCCTCAGAGCCGCCGCCCAAACCATCGAGGAGCAGCCGCCGTCGAATCTGACGAGCTGCTCGTTGGATTTGAAGAAGCAGAAGAAGGGGAGAGGAGAAGCACCTGGAGGCGGCGAAGACAGAAGCAGAAGAAGGGGAGAGGAGAAGCACCTGGAGGCGACGAAGACAGAAGCAGAGGTGGCGGCAAAGTCAGAGACGGACGGAGGGCGGCAGATCGACTCACGATGGAGGAGAGATGTCGATGTGTTTGAGGGAGGCAGAGTAGGGAAGCGTATATGGTACCACCGGTTGTACGGTGCTCACCGTACAGCCGGTGGCATTTCTGTAATTTATTTGAAATTCGCGTCTCGTATTAAATAAGTATTAAACCACACATAGTGAGCAAGTGACATATTTTGTTGAGCATTAGAAGCATAACATTGAGCATCATGATCTCTGCTTCATCTCTTCGAATTTACTTTCTTTTCCTTATTTTTTTCTTTATAAAAACTTATTAAATTATATCTATAATCAACTCTTATGAACTCCAGTATGTGAATTTAATGCAATATGATACTTTGGAAATATACATTGGTATGTCATATTACAAATGAGCATAACTGTTATGCTCACCATAGGGATTTAGGGTTGGCTTTCTTTTGAGGCTAATACTGTCTTTTTTCAATTTAAATTATCACTTTTCGGTCCAGATTTAAATGTGACCATATATTTGTACAGTAAGAGTCTCATAGTAATAATCCTACCGAAGGGCGTAGCTCAACTGGTAGTAAGGGAGTGGCACAAGGGTTAGGCCCCGGTTCGAATCCCGGCAACTACGATGAGAGGTTACTATGCTTAAAATGCATAGGGCCTCTGCAAGTACCGGGGATGGAGCTTTACTCTCTATCTGTCAGATTGTAATTATAGTCCAATTTACATCCTCCCATCATACCGTCTGGTCGGTGTTGGGGGCCCTCAAATTAAAGATGAGGTGTCATCCTTTTTTTCATAGTAATAATCCTGCTATTCTTTCTTATATTTTCAAGTTTTGGAATATTCGAATATTACAGGCAGCTCATTGTATCCCTATTTAATCGATTGCCACCTGGGTATTGGGTTGGCAGACACCTCACTTCATATCCTTTGATCGTTGAGTAATGGAAACTACTTCGAGATTGTTGTTTCCTGGCCGTAGAATTGGTTCCATATATAAACGAATAATTTATTAGTAATTCCGTTGTTCAATTATATTATCAGTTTTCGTTTATAGGTATCCAGTGACGAGCTATGAAGCACGGATACTTTACTAGAGCGCCGTATGGGTGTATCAGAAATGTTCACGTATCCGGTACTCTATGATACACGTACCGACTTTTAAATTAGATACGCATTCATAACTTTTAACATTTATAAATATGATCATGTATTCATAGTAGTGATCATGTATCCGTGTGAGTGTGTGACCATATCGATGCTACATAGATGACCGGTATGGATCTATGGAATGAAAAATGCACTGATATCTGTATTCGTGAGCATAAATCAATTACAAGGGGTAAAGTAGAATGGATTAAATTTTTAAGACAAATTTGAGCAATTCGTACATTAGTCCTACATACTACGAGTATCTAGAAACCAAATATTAAGAATTGACTAGATTTCATTTTATTTAAATGTCTTTACAGACAAAAAGTTTTAGAAGAAGATTTGAAAAAATCCAATCCAATCCAATACTGACCTGATTTGGTAACACAATGTCCTATTTTGGCTCCAGTAAGTTTTTCTGCTCCTAAGAGAAAAGATAATACTCTCTATATAAATAACTAATTATATGAAATCTACTATTTTAATCACATTTGATTGTATTTTGATAGAAAAAAGTAAAATCATACTCCATCAATAAATCAAACTACCAAATTGTTTATACCAAAAATGTGTATTCCCTCCGTCAATTTAACATTTCCTGGTATTCCATTACCCACTACAAAAAAAAGGCGGGATTGGCAGGGATTTTGGCACGAATTTGGCAGGGATTTTGGCAGGGATATGCCAAATCCGTGCCAAAAACACTTTGGCACGAGCTATTTGGCACGAAAAATTGATAAGTCCGTGCCAAATTCCGTGCCAATCCCGCCTTTTTTTGTAGTGACCGTCACTATATTCCTTTTTTAATTAAATTCTTACATGTATTATTGCTACAAATTAATTTCTTGACAATGTTTATATCCATAACTATGATTTAATAATTCTAACATAGCGATTTTAAAAAAAATAGATTTGGATTGTAATTTCATTTTTATTATTAGTGACATATTTTTATATAATTTTTTTTCAATTTTATATATACACTATTAGTGCCATACAAAAGAAGTTCAATTTTGATATTTTATTTATAAAAAGTTGAGCACATTGAAAAGTTATTGAGATTTTCTTATAAATACAATTTCTTACAATTGGGACCCTTGAACTGTGTACGCCTTAGTTACATTTCCTGATTTCCCCTTGCATTGCTCTTCGTATCCGTGATCGAGTATTCAGTAAGTATTCAATACCCAGCCCCATAGCCCTAGGAGTATTACACACCCACTGTGTATTATACATTATTATCACTTTTTGCACAATTGTACAAGTAAATTACTAAATGAGTAATGCGATGAAACGCTTAAGAGCCCGTTTGGTAACACTGAAATCAGCTAAATCGGTTGATTTTGCTAAAATTTATGAAGTTATGGCTGAAGTAGTTGTATAGGCTGATTTTGTTGATTTATGAAAAATATAAATTTAAAATATATTTTATTACTAAAATAAAGAAAAAATTATATGTAAAAATATCTAAAATTGTCCTCTATAGTAACTTCAGCCGAAACAGCCAGAAAAGTAACTCCAACATTACTTTTTCTTATTATTACATATTTCAGTGCACAAAATCAAAAGTTACGTGTTTGATAAAAAATTTGGTTGATAAGCCTGATTAGCCGAAAAACAGTGTTACCAAATGAGCTATAAATTTAGTATTTTACTCCCGCGATTGCAAATGGTTTGGTGAGTACATTTTTTTTATTATAAACGGCTTATATTAATACACTCAGAAAACATGAAAGACGACACTAAGAAAATATAGGATTTTATACTTTCTTGTTCGATTATTCATTGTTCGATTTCTAGCACGTATAGATCGACATTTGAATGAAATCGTTAAACATGTAATGAGTAATGTTGTCTTGCCTTTTATAGTAAATACTAGTTTTCCGTCGCGCCATGCGTGAGGAGAAAATGACTAATGCTACTTCATTACGGTTAACAAAATGAAATGTTATTGATTGAAATAGTTGATTCATTTGAAATTACACACAAACTTTATGTATAATATTCTCCATGATCAGAATGGTTAAAAGCAAGAGTCTTATGGAATACCAATACTTGTAACAATTTTTTATGTTTGGATGTTGCATGCAAAGCTAAAACAGGCTGCAGTGCTGATACGATACTGGACATAATAGTGAGGGGTATCATCATTAGGTTAGTGAATAGATCCATCTAGGAAGTTGATTTTGTTCTTGACTCTGAAGTTTTCTCATTTCAATGTCTCGTAAATGATGTGAATTGAAGTGTGGCTTGGTCATTTGGATGGACATAGTAAGGTGATGACAGATCTTTGATAGGATTATAAGACATATTGAGGCTCATACCTTTTGTAGTTATGGTTTAATGTGAGATCGATAAACGAAAAAATGATCAGGAGATTCAATCGATTATAGAAACCGGTGAAGAGAATAAAAAAATTGTAGCAATTGACGAAGAAATATAGGAGTAGAATAGGATCGAAGCTTTAATCCGATACCATGTGAAATCTCATATATGAGCTCTTGGAGTAAATATGCACAAGAGTATTCATGTAAAAAGACTTCCAGATAAAAGTAATAGCTAATTCATTATAACCTGATTAGAGTAAGAGTACATTCTTATATAACAAGCTATTCTAATCTATTGCGGAGTAGTAATAAAGTCCAATAGTAACAGGCCCAAATAGAAGCAGTGTCTAGTCCATTATTCTTGAGAACAATTCTTCAAAAGGTATACGGACTACGGAGTATTAATTTTTAGGCTAAGAAACAAGTTTAATTGGACATTGGAAATGAGTCTTTAAAGGACTTTGCTCACTCATTTCTACGGAGCATAAAAGTTGTGTTGACTTGATGATTAAGACGTTTAAAGGGGAACAAATAGAGTATTAAATCCGAAACCATTATATATATACACATCATATGAATGAAAAATGCAATGTAAACAAACTAGCTGACGTTCTTACAATAGAGTACACAACGTAAGAAGAAACAAAGCATTAATATAATTTTTTTACAGATATTATACTTAACCACGAATCAATGTAATGAATAATTGAAATTAAAGTTCATTTTCTTTTAATCCTTCTCACAGCACAAATTGGAATATAATTCTATTTGTTTACCACAAAAGTATCTTTGGCAAGAGCGAAGTGTGTGAAGACTACATGCAATAATTGCTTCGATCAGAGATCAAGCTTTTGTTGGATCAACGGCTGTGGCCGGTTTCTCCTCCTCCTTTGGCGGTTCAGCCGGAGTTTCTGCTGCCGGAGCATCCTCCGCCACCGGTGGAGGGACTTCAGCTTTTGATTCTTCCCCGACCACTATCTCCTTCTCTTTCACCTCCGCCGCCGGCGCCTCCTCTTCTTTCTTCTCCTCCGGGATCAGCGAAGCAAATTTTTCGACTAGAAACGAAACCGGACCGGCCACGTAAGCAGGCCCTAACTTCGAACTGGCTTCACTGACCAGCTTTGATCCGGGAAAGTCTTCATCGTAAACATATAGCTCACGTTAGATAATTTTATGATAATTTATGTACAACTTTAAAATTTCAAACTGATTTCATAGGCTATATTTTCGTAGACTATAATTGGATGTTTTTACTTTTGGAAGGTTTTTTTTGGTATGATATGGTCTGGTCTGAACTGGTCTGGTCTTTTCTGATAAACTATGATCTTTTTGTATTTTATAATTGTCCATGTCTGGTCTATTCTAATCTGGTCAGATTTGGTTTGATCTGGGATTGAAAACCATCCAAGTAAAAACACCCTTACACACCCAATTCTCAAAAAATATACGTAGTACTAAAATAAAACTTATCAAGTGTACAAACTGAATTTAAGTTATGAGAAAATTTAATCTATCTTCCAAACATATTTTGATAATCACTTCATTTTTAATTTAATTTGGAATCACATAGAGTGATACCAGAGTAGTATAGGAATGGTGAGTAGAACACTTTTAGTATGAAGGCTAAATAATTATTTTCTTCTAATTGTATGATATTAAGTTGTGGTGCTTTTAAGTATCACACTCCATATTATTTTTTACTATATACTCCATACTAGTCAATTCACCCGTGTGTTGCACATGTAACGGTTTAGGAGATGAAATTCATTTGTTTTTAAAATAGTTCATTTCATGAGAAATGTGTATCCCAATAAACATTTGATGAATTCCCAATAAATTTGTATTTTATTTGTCTATTTTGATGTATTCCAAAATAATTATAATTTTTGTAATTTGAACTCAAATCTTTCATACGGAGTATATTTTTCATTTTATCATTTCTTCTTGCGTACATTTGATTTACTTTTTATCGACTCGTAATATTGTTTTACTTTCGTTTTCAAAATTACCACACGAAACTGTACTCTAAGTTGAAAGTAATTACATTTACTTTTTTCAACGCAAAACGTAGCAGATGAGGAAATTCTATATGTTTCTAATTATATTTCCACTCAATTGCTGAATCGAAGCCTATATGTTTCTAATTATACTAGTACTCCGTATTATTCATTTTTATAGAATACCAATTCAAGTAAATAAAATGTCGTTGATTAATTTGGAAATTCCATCATTGAAAGAATTTTTTATAGACAAGTTTAAACATTGGTAAATGGGTCACATATAAAAGAGTAAATTAGATAAAGTGAAAAATATCAGTGTAAATGTGTAATAAAGAAAAGTCAATACAATACAATAGTGGTGCGAAAATATTTCATACATAAATGGGACACAGAAAGAGTTAAAGACACAAAGTCATTGAAATATTCATTGGGCCGGACAACAAATATACTACCTAACCACATGCATGTTAAACTATTATTCAGTGGTCCAACTCACAATTCAGTGGTCCAACTCACAGTTATCGAAACAGACTATGGCCGCCCCAATTATTTTATCACAAGATTCAATAAAAAATTACATGAGAGTATACTTAACTGACTTAAAGTGTGCAAATAGTTCCTTATATAGGATGTTCTGCACGATCGTCGCCAATTGGGGCGGTTCCCGGTGGAATTTTTTGAAGAAATTTTTTGAGCATCTTCTTCATTAAGTCTAGTTTACTCATACCAAATTTCAGCTAAAAATTCAAGCGGGAAGGCAGTCAAATGATTTTCCGAAATGTACTGCGCTGTTTAACTTCTGAAATTTGGTATGAGTAAGCTAGACTTAATGTAGAAGATGCTCAAAAAATTTCACAAAACAATTCCACCGGGAACTGCCCCAATTGGCGACGGCCGGGCAGAATCTCCTATATAAGAGACTAATTGAACACTTTAATTCAGTTCAAGGCTTATTTGACCCTTTAGCCATAATTATATTACGGAGCTTATTACACACTATCGCGGACAAATTAATGATCGAAGGGAAAGCAGTGCACAGAATGACTTTAAACATTTAGTAATTGTAGTTATAATATTCATATTAAATTTTGAATACCACCGATATTACTGATATTTTTAATATGTAATCATAATTCTATGACATAAAAATTTGTTTTATTAAAAAATTTATCTTACTCTACAATAATTTATCTAGAAGGTTGAAATTCTATTATTTTTTACAATTACGCTTTTTCAATAGTACAGAAAAAGTAGGAGATAAGGTGAAAAGTAGGAAATAGAGGATAAAAAGTAGAAAAAGTAAGAGCAATTGAGTATTTTTAAAGGAAAAACTTACCAAAATGAAAAATTGTATGAAACTTTTAAATACATCTCAAAATGGAAAGTGTATGAAACTTTAAAATACGGAAGGAGTAGTATATACTAAGGAAGATTCCTCATTTTTTCTTATTTGTTCTAGTTTCACAGGTAAATATATGTTTGCTATCAATAAGAGATTTAAAAGATATAGTATGTCGATTTAAGAATTAGATGATTGAAATCTATAAATCTAAGACTTTTTTTAATAATATAAATCTAAGACTTAAAATATCATATATTTTGATTTATTTACTTTTTTATTAATTCCATTGTCAATTTGTGATAATGTTTCTTCATAAAAAGTTTATTAGTTTAATAGGATTAAATGATATTTAGTGTTTTTAATATCAGAATATTAAGATTTATATATGGAATTTGATGTCTTAGACTCATTGTTTTTGTTCATTTAGATTCTATATTGACATACTTTATCTTTCAAGTCCCTTATTGATAGTGAATTATTTTGTCAGGTCTTGGATTAATAAAGTTATAAAACTGCTCACAAAAACTAGCTTGTTTATAGACAAAGTTTTAGACTAACTTATTAATTAGTTATGCAACTTTTAAGTTTACACGTTTTTGGTCATTTGACTGTATACACTTGTAGATCTTATCCTTTAATTAATAAATTTGTTACATTAATAATTAGATTACATTTCCGGTCCTAAATTGAAAAAACCTTACGTCCACGCTTATATGTTTTCAAATCATTAAACGAACCCATTATTATTAATTAATACCAAGCAAAATACTTTATTATTCGAAAAGAAACACAAACTGAAGTTCGAAAAGAGACTAAAACATGGAAATTTGAAATTTTAATAGAAAAGAAACATGGACTTGGGACAAATTGTAGTACCTCCATCCGGTTTTTATCAGACACTTTCATAATTGCCTTCGTATATAAATATATTATAAATCAAAGTTTAAAGTACATTATTATTGATGAAAAAGTAAAAATTGACTAATTAAAAGAGGATGAAGTGAGTGTCAAAATATACACTAAAGATAAAGGTAAATGAATCCTTCATTCCTTCTTATCAATGAGTAAATCTTTAAAAACTTAGCAGTAAAAAAGGTTTTTCAAAAATATTACTCCCTATTAAAATAAAATTAATCTATAAAAATATAACTAACTAGTGTAACACCCGGGGCATGCCCCGGTAGTGGCATGTTAATGTAAATTAAAATATTAAATATTAATAGAGATTTTGAATTAATACCAAACTTGTAAATAACATTTTGTTGTTCAAATGAGAATAAATTCACTAAAATTTTATTATTATTTTGGTCTTAGACTTATTATTATTATACTCTATTTATGAGAACATTAATTGAAGAACCTTCATACTATGCCAAGTATTTCAAGTACCGTAGCAAGACAACAACTAACTATTGCTTAAAATATCACCATAAGTATAATAATTTAAAACCATCATTTTCAAATAATTATAAGATAAAAATGTTTAATTCGTAGTTTATAAATTTATTGAGTTCAAATTCCTTTTAACATTTTACGCACAGTTCAAATTTTACGTTCTACAATTACATAATAAGTTTCTTAATCTTAGAATGATTTTAATTGGATTGAAATTTTGTTGCCTAGTTTAGTTTTATTTGAATTACTTTGGTCTACTTTGTTGAAGTTTGGTCTGATCTTGCTTGAATTGGTCTGGTTTGGTAGATGTCTGGTGTATGTGTATATTATAATTGTCGAATTCTGGTGTGATCTAGTCTGTTTTAGTGTGGTCTAGTCTATTCAAGTCTTATTTGGTTTGTTCTAGCCGGTTTGGCCTGTGTCTGAAAAGAATTCAATTAAAACATTCATACTTATTAATGTATGTGTATCATATCATTTTTCAGCGTCCCAAAGTTTTGGTAAGTTAACTATTCAAATTGTCCTGTAAATTGAGTTTTTTATTTTTTTATTATCTTTTTTTATTTCTATAAAACTTTGTACTAATAAATGAGACTTCTAAATCAAATAATCATTTTCGCGACATTAATATATGATAATTCCCACAACTAATTGGAAAAGGATACCTTAACTAAGATTGACGTCTTAATCCAATCAAATAGAAAAAAAGTAAACAATCCTTGAATGATTTGACTTTAGTTGTGTATAAATTCTTTCCATATTTATATAATTTCAACATTTATTCGATCTTGATCTATCAAAATCATCTTGTCGAGCTAATTAGTGACAAAGAAGAAGAAGAAGAAAATCGTTGATCATCTATTTAGTTCCCGAGGCACTCAATTCTCGATTAAATTGTTTATATTTATATTTACTTTTAAAAGAATTGAGTAATAATGATTGTATAATTATAAAATAAAATTAAATTAAAATAATTAACTAAGAGAAAAGAACTATTGAAAGTGAAAAGCTCGTACGTGCTAAAAGAATTGAACACTAAAAACTAAGAACCCGTTTGGTAATATCCAAATTGGCTGTATTAGGCTATCAGCCCATCCAATCAATACAGATAGCTAGAAAAACAACATCAACCTTACTTTTTATTATTACACAATTCAACACGCAAAATAAAAAAATTACGTGTTTGATGAAAAAATTAGTTAATAAGTCTGATAAGCCGAACAACATGGTTATAAAACGGTCTCTAAAGTGGAATGCAATAAACATTTAATGCCTAAAATTAAAGATGAAAAGAGAATTAGATTTTCTATATGAACAATGGGTGATAATAATATTATGAAAATTATTAAGATTAAAAGATAATGATATCCCGGTGGATATGCACACACATGTTGTATTTTCTCCACCTTTTCCTCCTTGTGCCTTTTCCATTAGCCATTTTAGCTATTTTTTTTGGAATTAATAATTAGTTTATAAGCATGGAATTATTATTAAACAAATATTTTAATGTGTGGATCGGACTCAAGTTTAACTATAAACAATCTGTACAGTTTTATCTCCAAGTTTTTCTCCAAAGTTTCTCTTGCACACGTTTTTCTCTATGGCTTTTCCTTTAATTAATCGATCTAATTAATTGTTTTGATAATAATGACAATTTAAGTTTTGTTAACCAATAAGAGATTCACATGTCAGCGATTACTAATAATTTGATAGATATTTTTATATATTTTTATATATACTACGTATAATATTGGTGTCATATGAAAGATGTTAAAAAATTATAAATTTTGATAATTTTTTTGTAGAATTTGGATTTTAAATATAAAAGTTATATCACTTTAGAAAAGAGAGATTTTTTCTTCTACTCTTGTTCTAAATGAGCCGTAACTCAAGTTCTAATTGGGGTGGACATTGAATTAATTAATTGCTTTAATTTTAATGATAATAAAATGTGCATTATCTAATAAGAAGTTGACACATCATTTTTTTTTAACTTAAGTTTACTATATAAAACTATAGATAGTTACTACAATGTATTGTTATACTAACTTAAGTTTAAAAATTGAGCATAAGTTACTATGAATTCATTACTACTCTAGTTATTAGTCACATTTTGTAAACAATCTTTATTTTAATCATAAATATGTAATTATTCCTAGTAAAAATAGCAGTACCGATTATACTAAAATTCTGCAGGCACCTATGTTAGTGTGTATATACTCCGTAAAAAATCATGTTTTAATCTTTTTTATTTTTCATCTACGCACAAAGTTTCATCATGTCACGTTCCCTTACCAAATTTCCATATGTACTTGCCGTGGCGGACCCACTAAGGGTCCCAAGGGGTCCCGGGACCCCGTGGACTTCCAAAAATACCTATATATAATATATATATTTCGTATTAAAAAATAATGTATAAATGTATATATTTAGGAAACGCCTCAAAATAATTTAATGGTATTGTTAGTTCAACGGTTGATTCGCGCGTACGGAATTCTCCTTCTCCCAGAGGTCCTGGGATCGATTCCTTGCTCCCCACTCTTTCAGGCTTTTTTATTTTTTAAACTTACTAGTAACAGTCCACAACATCCCTAGCTAATTCGCTACTACCTCTCCCGTTTCAAACCAAACGGGACTCCACTTCAGTGACTTTTGCAAAATTTATTTGTAGATTAATTATTAAACTTTCTTTAAAGTTAAGATTAAATCAATTAATTTTTCTTTAAGGTTAAGATTAAATCAATAAATTTATATATTTATGGAGTATTATGAATACTTTTTCAATATTTTACGATTTAGGATGAGATGATATTTCGGTAGTGTACATAGATTTAAGGAAATTCGAGATTGAATATTCGGAGTAGTTCAGATGTTAATTCAAATGATTCGCTACTAGTAAATGAAGAATTACATTAAGTAATTGCTGAAAGTGAAGCTAAATTGAATCTACATAAACAACATGTTGAATCTTTGGAGGCTGATCCTGGATTGGAAAAAAAATTTGCTGATTTTCATTCTAATTTTTTCAATAAAAGTTACGCTGTAGTTACCTTCAAAAAGGGCAGTTTCAACCTCACAATCATGATTTCCCTTTTTATATTTAATTTTTTGCTTTACATTATCTAATTTTTTTTTATGATGTATGAATTACAAAATGTTATGCTTCTTTAACATTTTACTTTGTTTGATTAATTTATACTAATTAAATACTCCCTCCGTCCCAAAATCGTTGGCCAATGTTGACTTGCACGTGGATTAATAAAGTAAAAACTGTGTGGTTAAAATTTGTGCAGAGGAGAGAGAAATAACTTTAGCCACATATTCCTTACTTTAAATGGAAATGGCCAACCTTTTTGGGACGGCCAAAAAAGGAAATTTGGCCAACCATTTTGGGACGGAGGGAGTATGTTATACTTGGGACCCCGTGACTTTGTTTTTCTGGGTCCGCCACTGTTGTACTTGTCCCTATGTCGACGTGAAACCACAGATATAATAATAATTTAATTCTGGTCAAACTTTTCAAACCAGGAATATGGTGTACGTACGTTTCCATATTCCTTGAAGAAGCAGAAAAAGAAAAAAGATTTACCGATCTTGACAAGCTCATCCAGGAACTTCTGAACTGCCGCTGAGTTCTTCTTCTGCCCTACGCCCTTTTGTTCTTTTATCAATTTCTGTTTTTTATAAACCAAGATTGCAGCTGAGAAACATCAGTCCATATTCTCTAATCTAGTCAAAAGCTTTTGAGAAAAAAAAAAAAGAAAAAGACTAAGGAAAAAGTTTTGACCTTTGTCTGAGCTGAGGAAGCTTCATAGATTTCAACAACTTTAGGCTGAAGTTCAGACTTCTTATCCTCGAACTCTTTCCCAAACTGTTCCTGTATGATCCACCAAACTCATTAAAACATAAATACAAGGATGTTCTCATTAATATTAATAAGCCCCCGACCTACAACAGTTGCATATTATTATTATTATTGACTTGATCATATCTTTCTATGTTGTTTTGCATTTGAAGTGTTTCATATCTCGTTGGAAAGATGTTTTTGAGTCCTAAAACTCGTATTCAGGCTTCTTTCAAACTATTACAGCATGGGTACTTATTATGCACCAATTGAATCACATGCTCTAATTACTTCAAATATGCTCTATTTACTCTAAAGACACTTACAGAAAACAAATTAAGTATTTGACTTGATCATCTTTTGTGTTGTTCTGCGTTTGAGGGGTTTAATATCTTGTTGGAAAGATCTTTTTGAGTTCTAAAACTAATGAATATAGGGAGTATAAAATTTTGAGATACTCGTGGATTTTTATGACCAAACCTCAAGTCTTAATTTAAATCGGAAATTAACCAACTAAGCTAAAAGATCTAAACTGCATGACATGAGATCTATGTAGCACGGCAACTCTCAGGAAAGAGTACACGTTTTCATTTCGAATTTAAAAGTCTACTGAAACTCTCTAAACAAGCCCCTTTTAGCAAAAATTCACGTTTCTCTTTTATTCATATATGATTTTCGAGTTTGCGTGCAACGTAAAAGTTTGTTTCTCCCGACACACTTTTCATATAAAAAAACGAACCAACATATAAAACTTTCTACAAACACAAGTCCTAGTAGCAGAAGGGGATTTATATGCATATCTATATACCTTAGATTCATCAAAGGCCTTGCAAGCCTCAGCAGCAGCAGCCTTCTTGGGGTTGTTCTTCTCAAAAGCCTTTTTGATCTTGGGCAAAACCTTAGATTTCCAGTAGTTCATCTTTGCTTTGGCTGATCAAACTAGGCTCTGAAGCTAGATGTGGTGGTCAACAAATGGTTTACGTCTTCGCTGTGGTGATAGAAACTGGAGGTCTCTGAGATATATACTCCATTTCCTTTGTATGTCGTTCATGTTCGGTCGTTAGCATACTGGCAGCTGGCTTGAGTTTATCATGTGCGTGTGGGCCCGGAGTCCTACTCAGCATTATTACTTACAAAAATATCGGTATTTCCAAATAAACTGGCCTGGAATTCTCAATCATGCCAGCCAACTGTCACCGATGTTCCACTTGCGCTGCTGCCCGTCCTACTCCTGTTGATTTTTTCTATAAAAATGAAAGGTTGTAATATGTCGTTAGTTTTTGGATCCATGTGTTAAAGGAGAAAAGAAAAAACACTATACACGCATCTAGAGTTATTATTTACTGTAATACACTAATACACTACCTGAAAAACGAAAAAAATAGGGAAATAATATTTTTTAGGGAAAAAGATTAGTTAAGGAGTATTATAAATCAAATCATAATTCAACTATCCCTGATTTTAAAAAAGAACATATCACAGTATCACACTACAACAAAATATAGCTTTCGTAGCATATACAAAATGTTGCAATAGGTGTCAAAAATGTCGCAATATATCGATCAAATGCAGCATTTTTAGCATGCTGCATCCGAATGGTGTTACAATAGATCAATATATATCAAATGCCAGCATTTTTAGCATGATGCATCCGAATGGTGTTACAATAGATGTATTGTAGCATTTTTACTTCATATTGTAGCATTTTTTGGTACATTAATGTTACAATATATATAGCAATTTCTATGATGCTACAAAATAGATGTTGCAATAAACACTTTTTGTACTAGTGAGACAATATGTATCAAACGGAACATAGACATGGATTTTATTAAAGGATCTCATATGCTAAGAATTTCACGTTGAAGAATGTGTATATATATTGAAGTAGTCTCGAGATGAAAGATCTTTCAAGATGTTTTTTAGAGTGTGCATATGTAAAATAAAGTGTGTGGTAAAGATTCATATTGATTTATGATGATAGTATCACAAATGTTAAGAGGTTGGGGTGTTACATCTTCCCAAGTACTTCGTATGTAAGAGAAATGTAAGAATGTAAGAGAAATAATCCACCACTACCCTTCCCACCCCTATACTGAAAACCCCTCCACTAGTCTCATTCTTTTCCGTTTTTACCGAGTTATGAAAGTATTTAATTATGTTAGTAATTAAACACAAGTGGATGTTGGTATGCAAACATGATAAGTGATTTTAGTGATCGTATATGGCATAGGAGAAAATGTTTGGAGCATAGCTCGATCTTGTATCTTAAAAAAACTTGAATCAGATTGATTTTGGTTGGTGAACAATTGAGTACAAGGGTCCTATTTAGCTCGAGGTACTAGAGAATATTTCTAGTCACTATAACTGATAGAGTATTAATTCTAGAGAGAAGTGAGAGCTAGAGAGAGAAAGTGAGTAATTATATTTCTCAACTTGGAATCCCCTATAATTAGCCCCTTGGGGTCTATTTATAGGTAAAAATGTGGATTTGGGCCCCTAGCCTTGGGCTTAGGAGGCCCATTACAATAATCATGCCTTCTTTGGGCAAATAAGGCCACTAATGGGCTGAGTACAACACTTAGTACATAAAATAGGAAAATACATTCTGTCCGGGCGAAGTTCGGACGATGCGATCCATGGACGATGCGGTCCATGGACGAGGCGGTCCATGGACGATGCCGTCAATAAATCAGGCGATATCTTCTTTCTTGGACGCTACATGCCTCTGGCCGATGCGGGTGTCCCGCTGGTGTCTTTTGGGCCATTGAGTATGTGGGCTATGGGGTCCAGGCCCATATACTCTATCAGGAGTCCCCCACTCTCTGAGCTGAGGCACAGATGAAGCGAAAGGGAGTAATGTTGCTTCTTCTTTGCGGCCGTAGCGATGCCAATTCCTGTTTTGGTGTGTGTCGACGTTGCGCGCCTCTGGGGTTCTCGGCCTTTGCGATATCTCTCGTTTGATTGAGTTTGTACGTAGCGGTGTCCAGTGTGTGTCCTCTGAGACGAAGCGCCAGCTTTATCTGAGTCCCTATGAAGCGGAACCTTGTCATCCGATCTCCGACGAAGCGTGATCTTTTGATCAAGATCAGACGAAGCGTACCCTTGTAACCTAGGGCCGCTGCGTTACATTCTTTGCTTCCCATTCGCGGCTGATGCGGCTCTTTGATGTTGGTGGATGTAGTGGTTTATTTGTGGAAAAGCTGGACGTAGCGTCCTTGCAGATGGTGCGTTTCATTCCTCATTCTTTCCTTGTGTTTAGACGATGCGGTTACCCTCGTTGGTAGATGTAGCGGCACCACTCATGAGTGAGCCGTTGCGCTTTTATTTTTGTTTGGACGAGGCGTTTCACTTTTTTGTGCGTAGCTGGTAGTCCCCCAGTGTGCGCAGCCGTTGCACGCTAGATCTTGTATTTTAGGTTTTAAATTTTGGGTTCTGGGGCCGATGCGATCTGCAATGCTCTTGAGACAGCTGATGCGATTCTTCATGCTTATTTGCGGTGAATTTGTTCATCTTTTGTTGTTGGTGAGTCGTAGCGCACCCTTTTGTATTAAGGCCGTTGCGGTTTCCCTTCTTGTGGCCGATACAGTCCCCCAGTCCCCCACTCCTTTGGCCGAAGAGTATCTGAGGCACAAGGGAGTAATGAGCCGATTCGGTGCCTATGCGTTAGTCGCGATTCCAACCCTTAGGCGAACCTGTCCAAGGTAACCCTGTGGGAGAACCCTTGGACGAAGGCCGCGATACCAGGGTCATCGTCAACGATGCGCGCCTAGGAGGCCGTAGCGGTCTATTAAGGTTTTCTCGGTCGTTGTGAGGACGTAGAGTTAGGCCGATGCGTTCCTTTTTCGGCCGTACGGGCCGACGCTTGCTTTGAAGCCCTGTAGTACTTGGGCCGTAGTGGTACTCGGCCGATGCCCTGTTCTTTTTTAAGGCTGACTTGGGCCGTAGGGGTGCTTGCTTGAGTGATTTTGAATTGACGCCCCTTGATTGGTTGGAAGAGAGGTGGCCGTTGGTGGGGCCAATGGGATGGCGCCACGTGTAGTGACCGTTTGGAAGTTTTTTATAAATACCCCCTTATTCCGAAGCCACTTCCTCATTTGCGCCTTTGCTGTTGTCGAATTGCTGCCCAAGTCTTTCTAGAGAGAGAAAGCTCTGAGAATTTCCAAGTGTTCGTCACATTCTTCGAATCTTTAAAGGTTAGATACTTTAATTTTTCTTTGATTTCTTCATATTTTGCTCCTTAGGGTGTTAGATCTAGTGTTCTTTAGGAAAGTCACTTTGATCCGAAAACTACCCTTAGGACGTAGCGATAGTTGTTATGCCGTTCCCTGACGGCCGTCGCGTTCCCTCTCCCGTTGACTTAACAGCTTCATTGAACGAGTCTGATTGGCCTTTTGACGACGAGGACACATCCCCTGGGGTTGATCTAAGAGTGGTGGAGGCTTTCGAGGTTGAGATGGAGAACACTGCGGATTACCGCACCTCCGTGGACGAGGAGCGTCTAAGCGCTGATGCGGGGTCTCAACGGTCTGGTGAGGACGAAGCGAGCTCTGACCCCAAACTTCGTGGCGACGATGCGGGTGATGCATCCTCGGCCGCTATTCCTTGTCCTCCCCCGCTTACCTCGGTCCCTGGTATTGCTCCGTCTTCCTCTAAATCCAAGATGCGTAAGTCACGTCGTCGGAAGGGGTTATCTGGTAGCATCTCGCAGCTGGATTTGACGAACCTTTATATCATAAGGCCGGAGGGTTCCCGAGGTGAATATCAGGTGGCTCAGCTCTACGTCGGTCCTTATGGAAGGGTTAGGGCGCCGAGGCCGACGGACCATGTTCTTGATCCACCTCCCGGTTACTTCGGAGTGTATCCGATGAGCTTCTCCCAGGGTTTGAGGTTCCCCCTTCATCCCTTCGTTGTGGAGTATCTCAACATGATAGATCTTCCACCCGCTTTGCTTACTCCGAACAGCTATTCCCTCATCGTCGGGTTCCTCATCCGATGCGATGAGCTTGGGATTGAGCCGACGACGGCATTGTTCACGAACTTATACCGGATCGGACGGGGCAGCCACGAGAACTGTGCTGGGTATGCTGCCCTCCAACAGCTGCCGAAGAAAAGATCTTTTACTGATCTCCCGTCGTCCATCCATGGGTGGAAGAGTAAATTTTGCTTCGTGAAATTAGCCGATAGGGTGTTCTTCCCATCTCAAGGGCACAACGGTATCTTTAATTTGCACAACCCACCGAGGAGCCCTGAGATTGATGCTCAAGTGGAGGCGTTCCTGAAGGGTGGGCCGCGGAGCGTTAACACTTACATCACCGAGTTCAAGATAGCAGCTCTAGGGATGATGCGGTACCATATTCCTGGTGACCCTGATTGTGGATTATGGCCGAAGATATCCGGCTACTTTGAGCAGGCCGACGGGCCCTACCTCGGTGTCCCGGCCGATGCCGAAGGTTGATCACTTTCTTTTGATTTACATTATAGTTTGTTGTATTTGTTTTTTCTAACTCTTGTTGTGCTCTTTGCGTCTGTAGATTTCACCATGAGCCGTAAGCTTTTCATGACCCAGGCCAAAAAGATGGTCGCCAAGGAGATGGAAGCCGTTCAACAAGCCGAGGCGTCCAAAGGTTCTGGTGACGGCTCCAAGTCTCAGACCGAAGCGATGAAGAAGGCGGCGGCCCAGAAGAAGAGGAAGCCTGCTGAGGGGCAGAAAACCTTGACTGAAGCTGGGTTGAAGCCGACCCAGGATGCTAAGAGGCCGAAGCAGGGTCAATCCTCTAAGGATGCCGCTACGGCTGTTGTGCGGGCTACGGCCCAAATGGAGCAGGTCCCCGACGTTCAGGTGATTGAGGACCTCACTTTGAATGAGACGTCGGCTGCCCTCGTCCCTACGTCGCTGCATCTTGGGAAGGATGTCCAGGCAAGCTCCCGCAGCGGCCGTGACCTGGCCTCCGGACTGTATGAGGTGACGGTCCGTTACCCGACGAAGGGCGGGCTCTTTAATGAGAAAGTCTCCGGCCATGACGATATTCATGGCCGGAGATATTCTTCACTTTATC